TGGTTCATACAAAGGGCCATAAACCTTGTGAATACATTCATGCTAGATCAAAGCATTTCACTTCATTAGGATAAACAACTCCCACAAACTTTCCCGCTGTTGAATACATTATGTAACATGTAACATAACATCCTGTTTTCTAACAAACAACATTTAACTCTGTAATGACTGAAGTGTAAGCAACTTGAAACTCCAACAAATTTAAAAAATCCTTTTTGGCAAACATTCCTTGTAGAAGAGATATTGAAAATGTGAAGGATTTGCTACTGTAGTTCAGTTAATAATAATAGTGGTCCAGCAGTAACTCAATCTTGTCAGAGGTTTGTTGGGGGTATGGGCTCTCAAGAGTCAAAGGTCCCTTCATCTGATACCATGAGCTTTGCCCTGACCTGGGTAGTCCAGGCTAGCCCAATCTTGTCAGATCTCGGAAGCTAAGCAGGGTCGGCCATGGCAGAAGCAGGCAACGGCAAACCACCTCTGAATCGTCTCTTGCCTAACCCCCCCCCAAGTCTAGCTCACCACCTAGTGGTGCATAATGCTTTCAACTGCCAGACAATCTTAGGATCTCCTGGCTATACTACACACAATGCCATACAATAATTATTATACAGCTATAATACAATATTTATTATTACCATGAGCTTTAACTCTTGAAATGTCTTAGCCCCCAAAATCTTAGTTCAGTGGCACCTTTAAGACCAACTAAGTTTTTTTAAAATTATTTCAAGGTATAAGCTTTCATGTGCAAGCACACTTCTTTTGCTTCAGACCAGCATGGTCTTTTGCTTCAGACCAGCATGGCTACCCACCTGAATCTAACTCCAAAATCTTGTTAATCTCCAAGGTGCTACTGGATTTGAATCTATAACTGTTCTTCTGCAGCCCAACACAACTGCCCTCTGAAATAATAGTAGGGGCATTTAGCATTTGTATAGTTGCCTTTCTGGCTCATAGGGGTGCCTGGCAATTCAGTCACTATTATTAAAAGGATAAAATATAATTGCAAACCATGGACCGTTAACCAAACAGCATCTAGTGACACAACAAACATCAGGAACAACATCAATTTTTAATCCTCTTCAGTTGAAGGCCTTCTGGATTAAAAACAGATATATTTAATCTGTTCTGGTAGACCTGTACAGATGATATCTCTTTTACTTCCTGGGGTAGAAAGTTCCCCAGCTTGCAGGACTTCAGGTGCTGTAGGTTATTACAGGAAGACCACATTTCCACCCATTGCAACACAGAGACAGGTGTGAATTACAGTGCAAATGCGATAATGCGATTGGCAGAGTTGTTGAAACGAATCTAGTTCGCATGTCTCCCTGTGATGCCTCCAAAAGTCTCCAGAATTTACTGGCACAATAATATCTTGTTTGGAGTGCACTTTCCAGGTATTTGGCTGCCACTTATTAGAAGCAATTTTCCTAACTGTGGTGTCATGGTTTTGCAGTCACTGCGATCCTAGGGTTGTCCTGGAAACAGAATGGCTGTACCTGTGGAGAACCTGATTTTATATAAAGTATTCTCATGTATGTATTGAGTACAGCTAGTGGAGAACTGTGGTCTGATGTCACAAGGGCCCCTGGCTTGGGATTTACGTGCTGTTTCTGTAAGAGAAATCTATTCCCCCAAATCTTCCTCCCTGTCTCCCTCGCTGTGACTTATTTTGAAGCATCCCTAAAAGCCTTTTCATTTGGAAGACTTTACCATGCTTATGGGGAGAATGCACCAATGCGATCATCCTGACACCTGTGGTCACTGTTTTTCTTTGAAATGTGTATTTTCATAGAATCACAGAGTTGGAAGGGGCCATACAGGCCATGTAGTCCAACCCCCTGCTCAATGCAGGATCAGCCTAGAGCAGTGATGGCGAACCTTTTAGAGACCGAGTGCCCAAACTGCGACCCAAAACCCACTTATTTATCGCAAAGTGCCAACATGGCAATTTAACCTGGATATCCAGCCAGTACCTTCCCACCCTTAATCTAGCAGCCTAGGTCCGTGTCCCAGAAGAACCCTTATTTTTCTGGTGTTCCTGCCATTTTGTCTGAAAGGGATCACGCATTCAGCAGAAGCACATGTGTGTTTTCCCAGTATGCCTGGTAAGATGTAACAAGTGAAAAGGGCAATAGATATTTGGGATGTGATCCTGCGGCTCTTATTGTGCCTTAAGAAGCATCCTGAGAAGAAACTGACCAGTTGTTCCTCACTGTACAGAATTTCTGACAGATGCTGAAAAAATATCAAGGTCTCTCTTTATTTCAGGAACTTCAGAATCGTCCTGGGAACCTGGAGACAACAATGTAGACAGCATCTGAGTCTACAAGGTGCAGTGGCCCACCGTCCTGTTACTATCAAGAAAAAAGCTTTATACACTCATTCAATGCCTAACGTTGCAGACTCTCACTTTGCGAGTGGTTCTGAAGAAAACGAGCATGGCCCTGGAAAAAAGACTTCAGAAGTTAATCATCACGGTACCATAAAGCCGTTTTGTGCTTCAGGTGCCTCCGTAGCTTCTTTGGGATCTAGCGGAGACAGACATTATCCGTGGGGATGCCCCGTGACTCACACCCGAGAGAAGTTTTACACTATCTGTTCAGACTATGCTTTCTTAAACCAGGTGACGTCTATTCGCAAAAGCCCAAGTGCTACAGTTAGTGCCTGCTTACAAGACAATGTTGCCTTAAACGCTGGAATTAATTCTCCTGGTTTCATTGGTATTCGAACTGATGCATCGGACATACTTTACAATGAAGATACTAACTTGGAAAGCTTGTCCAGTAGCCTTGGGAAAGTTCCACTGGCATGGGAAATTGATAAGTCTGAATTCAACGAAGGAGCCCCAGATTTGAAGAACAGAGCAGGTACGCATATAATTCTGATTAGACAATAAAACAGCACTTGAAGATGTCTTTCACTCCGACTCAAAACATTAATGTATTCTGCTTGCTAGAGCCAATGTGCATGGATGACACAATATAGTAGTAGAACAGAGTCTGAGTCCAGTGGCACCTTTAAGACCAACAAAGTTTTATTCAAGGTGCAAGCTTTCATGTGCACGCACCCTTCTTCTGAAGGGCCACAGGACTCAAACCTTGTTCTGCTGCTTCAGACCAACATAGCTACCTACCTGAACAATATAATAGTGTTTACGCTCCACAACTAAGGCATCTGTGGTATAAGGACTTAAAACCACGGGCCCTGCTCACAGGCTTACGATTTAAATAAAATAGAAACAGTAATTAGCAACATGGACAGGTGAGCATTTTTACCAAATAGGTAAACAGTCTGGTGCGGTGGTTAAAATGTCAGATTAGGAGCTGGGAGACTCTGGTTCACATCCCCACTCTGCCATGGAAGGTTGCTGGGCCAGTCACCCACTTTCAGCCTAAAGGACTTAAAACCTAATACGGGCCCTGCTCACAGGCTTACGATTTAAATAAAATAGAAACAATAATTAGCAACATGGACAGGTGAGCATTTTTACCAAATAGGTAAACCACAGTCTGGTGCGGTGGTTAAAATGTCGGATCAGGAGCTGGGAGACTCTGGTTCACATCCCCACTCTGCCATGGAAGGTTGCTGGGCCAGTCACCCACTTTCAGCCTAACCTACCTCGCAGGGTAGTTGTGATGTGAGGATAAAAATGAACCAAGGAAGAATATTGTAAGCCACGTTAGGTCCCCATGGGGAGAAAAGTAGGATATAAATGAAATAAATAAATAGATGGCTGTGTTGAGGCCTGCAGTGTCCTTCTGCTGGTTTTTATGGCTCGTTACACAGTAACACCCGCCCCAAAAAGTTGTCATGAACATTTTTAATCTGATGGAGATAAAGTGGAAAAGGAAGTGGCATGGGTAGTGGGGAATGGGTACTGTGCTCACATTTCGCGAAGCCAAAGGCTTTACAGAAGAGGTGGGTTTTGAGGAAGGACTTGAAGGGAAACTGTTGGCACATTGTAGGAAGGAATTCTGAATCACAGAGAATCATCAGTTCCTTTTCTGAAACTGTGTGACACCTTTCTTTAACAGAGACGGTGTTTGTGAAGATAGCTAGGTGTGACTGACTTTAATAGTTCACACAGAACTACTATTATACATAATGCCCTTATCTTAGGTAATACTGGTGTTCTCACTTTCTTGTCAGCAGTTTTGCTGTGTATTAATTGTCAAGGTTGAATAACATTTAAGTTTGGGAAGTACGGGGGAAATCTGTGTGTTGAGCTATGTGAAATTTCAGCTCATGATATTATGTTTTTTGTTAGTTTTTATTTAAAGAAGTCTAATAGAAGATGTAAGTGCTGCGGTGGCTCAAGTGGCTAAGACGCTGAACTGCAGGCTGTGGAAGGTCAGTAGTTCAGCAGTTCGAGACCTGGGTGTGCCGCATGACGGAGTGAACTCCCGTCTCTAGTTCCAGCTCCTGCCAACCTAGCAGTTCGAAAGCAAGAAATTGCAAGTAGATAAATAGGGACCACTTCGGTGGGAAGGTAACAGCATTCCGTGTGCCTTGGTGTTTTAGTCATGCCGGCCACATGACCACGGAAACGTCTTCCGACAGCGCTGGCTCTTCGGCTTTAAAACGGAGATGAACACCGCAACCCTAGAGTCAGACTCGACTGGCTTTCGAGCAAGGGAACCTTTACCTTTTACTAATAGAAGATGTAATCAGTCATTGCTGTGTGTTTGATATGCCTCAGCAGAATCCAAAACTTATCTGTAACTATCCCCTACATTTCCTGAACCTCATTGTAGGAAAAATCGTTAAAATGTGTTCAGTGCCTTTTGTCATCCATAATAAATCAACTGTGTGTGTGTGTGCTTTGCTAGTTGTTTGTTGTTGTTGTTCCTGTATTCCTGCCTCTATTTTGTTTTCTGGATATGTCTCTTCTGCACCCTAATTCTCCATGAAAAGAATCCAGCTTCTGACAAATTAATTATTGCATCCAGGATAAATGAATTAAGCATTTAGCTATGCTTTTTTAATGTAATGGATTGTCTGGAAGCGATTTGTTTATTGCTAAATCATATATTGCAGGCAACATGAAGAAGCAAGGAACAAAGAAATTGTCTGTAGAAAAAAAAAGTAAACAGTACAGGGAATGTCAGCAACACTACGCCCTTGAAGAAGTAAAACAACGAAAAGTGTTAGATCTTCGGAGATGGTATTACTCAAATGCTATTAATACGGCTGCAGTTTTGTGACTCTTTATCTGAATGCTTAATGCTACTTCGTTTTATTTGTATTAAATGTCACTCTTACTATGGGGAGAATGTTCAGATAAGAAGAGTCTTTAGTGTACGGCAGATGACATAATGCACATTGAAATCAATATAAATATAGAGGTGGAGCAGCCATGGCCTCCCTGCCCAGTCCTCACCTGTGCATGATCACAGGCTCATAAGGACAGAGTCCATGTGTGTAGAAAGCATGGTGCCTGTAGGCTGCCTAGCCATGATCTGGAATGTTCAGAAAAGCCTCATTCCCTGTTGCAGGGATGGAGTCGGGATGTGTACAGTTCCTGCGCAAGCAGGCTGTCTCCTCAAAATCTGGTAATTGTGTATAGCTGGGGGCGGTGCCAGTGCACTTATACCCATCCCCCCTCTGCTAAAATGAACACACACAAAAAAACGCATTCAAAGCATCATGTTAATCTGGCAGTGCACAAGGATCTGGCTTGTTGCTAGACCTGCATGTACAACTTGTTTCTGCCTCCTTCTTCCTCTCTTGTCATACCACAGTGAGAGGATTTAAAAAAAACATTTGTTACCTGTGATGTAGAAATGCAGTGTGTGGATTAACTACAATTTCCCCCATAGTTCGCAACCCTGCAAAAATATTGGCTTCGCATAAGGCCTAAAGGCAGACAGTTCTTTATTTAGGTCTTTCTAGCCAGCATGGTGTAGTGGTTAAGAGCAGTGGACTCTGGTCTAGAGAACCGGGTTTGATTCCCCACTCCTCCACATGAAGCCTGCTGGGTGACCTCGGGCCAGTCACAGTTCTCTGAGAACTTTCTCAGCCCCACCTACCTCACAAGGTG